TTCATTTTCACATTTTGTTTCACTACCCAAAATATTAGCAGTCCTTTTGTTTACAATCTTATCCTTTTCCCACTTCTCCCAGTTCCTCATTCCTACTAAATAAACAGATTTTGTCCCTTTCACCAGACTTACAAATCCTGAGTTCTTTGTTGGTCATGAGCTTTCTTCCACCTAATTTGCTTTCCTACCCCAGTTGAACCTTCATGATCATGCTCAATTTTTCTTTGTCTTGATACTTTGCATGTAATAGTAATCACAGCAGGTATTTATTGAACATCTGCAATACATTGAGCACTCTGCTTGTTTCTGGAGAGAAACCTCTGAACCAAATAAACTCCCTGCCTCAGGAATCATATATTAGGAAAAAAATCCCTCCTTTTTAAGGTTTTGGAGTTTGTGTAGAATTTTTATTAGTTCTTCCATAAAATTCAAATTATCTGGGCCTGGAGTTTTACGTATGAGAAGTTTTTAAACTACAATTTAAATTTCTTTAATGGATAATAGTCATTCAAGTTGTCTTTTTCAAGGAATATATCCATTTCATCTAAGTCGTCATATTTATTGTCAAAATTATAATATTCCCTATTTCCCCTTGTGGACTGTGTAGTGATGTCACCTCTCTCATTCCTGATATTGGTAATACATGTCTTTTTTTCCCCTCTCCCTAGTCTTGCTAGATATTTAGCAGTCTTACTGATTTCAAAGAACACGTTTTGGGTTTTGTTGATTTTTCTCTTACTTTACTGTTTTGTGTCTTACTGATTTTCATTTGGACCTTCTTATGCTTTTTTGGGTTGCTTTGCTTTTTTTCTAGTTTCTTAAGGTGGGAGCTGAGTTTGTTGATTTGAGTATTTCTTTTCTAGTATAGAGACAGTGCTATAAATTTCCTCCTAAGTATATGTTTTGTTATGTTTTCCTCAGTTCAAAATATTTTCTAATTCTCCTTTGATTTCTCCTTAGATCTATGGGTTGAAATTGTGTTATGTAGCTTCCACATATTTGGGGATTTTCCAGGGATCTTTCTGTTACTGCTTTCTAATTTATAGAGAAGATGTTTAAACAACTTCATCTTTTTAAATTTGAGACTTGTTTTATGACCCAGAATATGGTCTTACTAAATGTTTCGTGTCCACTTGAGAAGAACGTGTGTTCTGTTGTTGTATCAAGTAGTCTATCAATGTTCATTGGGTCACATGTTCAATAGCTTTGTTAAACTACTATATTTTTAGGTTCTGTCAACCTATTATATCAATTGAGAAATAATTTGTACTGAACTTGTCCCTGAGTTTAGCTGTAGTGACTAATGATGCCATCTTTGCCCTGGAAGGAATCCAAGTCACCAGTCAGGATAGTTATGGATGGTGAGATTGGGGCAGTCTTCCAGTCTGCGTGGCAAGGCTGAGTGCGTGCTGATATGTCCTGCTGTATCTGAGTTAATCCCCTGGGCCAGTGGGAAAGGCAATAGAGAATCAAGGGAAAGCCAGCTGGTTTCTAAGGTAGATTCTGATAGTTTGTGGGATTTGTTCAGTTGGATGGGGCCGAGACCCTGAAAGGGATGGTTGAGGTAAACATTGCAGGTTGACCTCATTCTGTTGCTTGAAGTTCTATTGACAGTAGCCTTAATTAAATTCTCCATGAGACAAATTGAACAAATCTGGTCTTGTGCCCTGCCAACAGACTAATTACTTGTATCTTGGGAAAATTTACCAGAAGCCAAAATGGTCCAAAATCGATGGATGGGTAATGTTGCAAGAGAATCCCCCTTGGTGCTCTCACTTCTGTGTATCTTGCTAGCAGAAGCAATGACAAAGTTTTCTTTACTGTATCTGCAAGGATGTTTATGTACAGTTTTTTTCCCCAGCTCTGGGCAGTTTCTTGACATGTGTGTGCTAATTCATACTTAGCTAAGCACTTGAGAAGTACTCTTCTGACATCATAGTTTGCTTTCTGTGTACTGTCTCCTCTCTAGCACTTTACCTCTAAAACTGTAGCTTCCTTGGCCTCCCTGGACTTGTAGCTCTGTCTTCCCACCCCAGGAACCCACTGGCTCTTCCAGGATTCCTCCTCTCTAATCAGTAGGCTGGGGTAATCATACATTTCTAATCACTTAGGGATTGCTCTTTGTTGCTTGATGTCCAACATCTTGTGAACTACTGTTGCATAAAACTTGATGAGTTTTTTAGTTATTTCAAGTGAGAGGATAAAGATGGATCCTATTATTTCTTACTGGTCATAGGTAAATGTCCTGGTTTTTTAAAATTCTATACAAGTAGAAATACTCTGCTGGTTGCATGTGTGCCATGTAAGTAATTTTTCTTTGGTGTTGAACTAGAGTAAAACTAATGAAAAATATTACAATACAGTCTGGTCAGATTTCCTCTGTAGAGCAGAATACAAAATAAATTTAAGATTCTACAGAAGCTCTAAAAGTTTAGGCATATTGGGTCAGGATAAGCAAGTAAAATCTGGCCAATATAGCACGACAGTAGTCATGATTTCAAAGTAAATATTTCAACACTTCTTTAACATTAGAACGAAATAGGATTAGCTATAGGGATGACTAGAACATATCCAGAATAACCCAGTTTGTTGGGTGGTGATCTAAACACACATTTTCTGTGAGTTTACAGGGACATGCCAACTGCTATATATTTGCCCATGTTTTGTCCTTTAATATTTTTAGGTGGAGGCTCCACAAAGAGTAATTCCTGTAATTCTTCAAAACTGCCTTTCATATTCACTCACAGCTAGACTTGCTCCAGCCTGGAATAAAACTGGCCATGTCTTAGTGAAAGGTGACTTTACCTCTTTCAGTCATTGGGGCTTTCTCAACTAGATTACTTCTATTAGGCACATCTGTTTTTACAGTACAGCCTGAACCAAGCACTCTCCAGTAAGCCCACAACAACATAAATGGCATCTCCCTACTTTAGGATTATGTCCAGAGGCTTGCTGATGTTTCTTTAAAGAAAAAAAATTTTTATATAAAATTTGATGCTTAGAAGGGAATAAATGTAAATTATTGAGCATTATAATACAATGAACATAGATTATCGATATTGTTGTAACCAAAGGCTATTCTGAATTTTCTGTTGAGGTCTGACCCTTTTGTAAATACTTTATGCTAGGAAGAAAGTATTCAAATTAAGAATTGGGTATTTCTGTCCCTTTAATTGAAGAAGTATTTTTTGAATGATTATATTTTTTCTCTGAACTGTCATCAGACATTCTTATATATAAAACTGCATTTTAAAGCATTTTCCTTAGCTTTGATAATTTGATATAAAAATTGTAATTATCAAGCATTATTTGAGTTATAATAATATGTCATATCTTATGACTTTTTTAAGGAAGAGAGTTTCTTTCTCAGATGGGAAAGCAAAGTGCTATTGGTAAGTAAAAATGCATAAGTCAATAGATAAAATATTAAGTTTAAAAAACAGTGCTATCAGTTGTTGGAGTGTTACAATTTTGATGATGAGGTTCTAGAAGAATTTAATCAGATACTACTATAATTACAATTTCACCCAGGAAATCACCTCTGGTTCAGAATACACTAGCCCTATGAGAAAACATCCACTTACCTTCATTGGAATAAAAGCTGTATTTTTCATTTCTCTACTTAAGGAAAATTATGAGTGTGAAAGATTTTAATCCTGCAGGCATTTATAATGTATAGCTTCCAGAATCATATCATCAAATCTTTTTTATAAAAGATTTATAAGTAAGATTTATAAAGATGTCTAAAGAGACAAAGATCTAACATAGTTTGACATCATGTAAGCATTTCATTGATGTGCATGGCAATATTGTAGGTATTCATATTCCTAAACATTAGTGCAGAGAGAGCAGACAGGTGGAAATCATGAGCCCAACTAGACTTTATTGATCATGGCAGCTTTCAGCACTATTTGCGCATAGCCTTCAATCCTGGGCTAGCATCTGCACTCCACAGCTATTCCGTCTGAGTTTATTTTCAAGCTGAAGCCTATTGGCCCTCCTTGCACTAGTTTTATGTTTAAATTGGTCAGTGGCAGTCACTGTGCTCTAACTCTGGATGAATGGATTCATTACTGAAATTCAGTTTCATCCCAAGCACCGTCAGACTACAACTGTTGGAGATTAAAGATAACAGTTTGAGGAGAACAAATTTCCCCATTCCTGTTAGTTTTACCTTTAGTTTTACCAAATATTCCACAGCAAAACTGGATATATACTTCAAATATATAGTTCATTGGATTTTCACAAACTAAACATATCCTTATAACCAATTCTGAGATCAAAAACAACATTGCCAGTACCTCCGAAGCCCCCTTATCCTTTCTTCCAGGTACCTCCCCTTCCCAAGATAACCACTAGCTGCCTTGTTTTAAGTAATTTTAATTATGAGAAAGCGAGGTGCAAGCCTTGAAGCTCTATGAGATCTGGAACAAATCAGTATATTTGAGGACGTTTGTTAGTGAAAGACTGCTGATGTCAGAAGCATGTCATGATTACTTCTCCTGATGTAAGAAGAAGGCAGCCTCAATTTTTCACGTGTAATAGATGTCAGACTTGTACAAGGTGTTAGTTGAGTTTTCCTCATTAGAAAAATGTCTCATGTTTCTTATTGCAATCCTATCCTATGAACCCCTGACCACATGCATATCCATGTGGTTTCTATCCTCACCATCTTTTATCCATGTCTCCTTTTCAGGCTGTCAAATATTATATAGTGTTATTAGAATTTTACCATGTGTGAAAAAAGTGTTCTTAACTGAGTTTCTCACTTGAATAAATTAATATCTTTTGTTATTAAAATATTCAGTTTGTTAAGATGGAGTAATAATTCCAGACTGTTGACAGTTAAATATTTTATTTTCAGTATTAGACATCAATGTAACAGAAACTCAAGTTTGTCTAAGCATAGAAGCTTACACAGTCAGACTGCCACCACCTGAGGTACCTCATATTTTGATTTCTATAGTTAACTTTACATTTACTATATACTTATGACATTTATTATTATTGCCAATATGCTAGTAAGTTTTAATATTTAACAAGAAGAATGATAAGGTTTTTTAAGATCCACATTATTAAATGTTTGATACATTAATATTCTAAATCTGTTTAACTAATCTAAATATCCTATCAGTTTAACACAGATCTAATCATGTTATTCCTTGCTCAAAAATCCTTTTATGTGACACTCAAGGCTCCAAAACCCTCCTCTGCCTCAGCACCCCCTTTTTGCCTCTTTTTCTACCAAATACTGAAAGCACTATGTCAGCTCACACTAAATGTAATATTGCCCCTTTAGCATTCTGTTAACATTGTTTTTACATCAATTTTTTACATAATATCTAAGAAGACCAAAAGGTTATCTTTTATTTTGCTAGTTTTCATAGCACCCAGAATAGACTTACGGATTAATGGTAACCCAATAAATATTTTTCTTCTATGTCAGTGGTTCTCAGTAGAGTGAATGGAAGGGAAAATGAGTGATTTTGTCCCCCACAAGACATTTTTTAATGTCTGGAGAAAATTTTGGTTATTGTAAAGGGGAAGGGGGTGAATTGCTACTGGCATGTAGTGGATGGAAGCCAAGTTTTAAGATATTCATCATAATTCATGATGAGAAATGTGATTTTAGTCCTTTGGAATTTAAATGGGCATCAAAATGAAGTATTTGAAAGAAAATTTACTCATCAAATTGTAGACTGTATTAAACTTTAATACTCTCTTAGAAATCCAATTGTTTAGAAAGGAATTTATATGCATAAACCCATTTTGTTGGTTGATGCATTAAGATTATAACTGAATTCACATTACAAGAGGGATATATTGTACCAAAAATGTTATATAATCTTAAAACTATATGCCTTGAAGATTTAATTACATGGCATATCTGGGAAATGGACACCTTGAAACAAACTTGTTTTTATTGCATAAATAGCTATGCACTGAGTTGTCATTACATATATGTAGAAGTTGCTGGTAGAAAACTTACAGAAGTTTTATTTTTGTCAGAAAAGAAGGCATGTACACAAAACTTACCAGGAGAAAGAAACATTTACTGAGCACGGGTTAAATACAGACCCAAAAAATTCAGTGTAGGCTTAGAATCACATTAAAATCCCCAGTTCTGCACTTATTAGCAGTGCCTCTTTGGGCATGATATTTAATCTTCCTGGATCTCAATTGGTATTGTAAACTTGGGATAATGGTACCTATCTCATAATGTTGGGGGGTTAATGGGATAGAGTACAGTAGGTGTTCAAACAGGATAGCTGCTATTTTGTAAGTAAACTGAGACAGAGTTTAAGTAATTTCCTCTGGGTCACAAAGGTAGTGAGAGATTCAGAATTTAAAGTTTGGCCATCAATGCTGTTCATTCTGCTACATTACTTATTCCTCCTTCACCTGGCCTTAGGTTCTTTGGCTCAGATTTGTATGTCTCATAGCACCTTACAGAAGTGGATACCTAATATGTCTGGGAAAAACAGAGCAACCAATGGGGTTTGGCAATATAGTGTTCAAAATAAGTGTTATAGGAACTTTATTACTTTAGATGTTCAGAGAAAAAGATGTCTGAGGTAATTCACATTTGAAACCTTTGGAATTTTGACACCGCTTTCTGCCCTTTCCTTGAAATCATTTTTTTGGATTTCTCTGAAACTGCTTTTCTCAGAATCTCCTTTCCTTCAGTCATGGTCGTCACTGTTCTTCTTTCTCTTACTATTCTTCTAATGTTGCTGTTCCCTCTGGTTCCATTTTCAGCCCACTGTTCCTTCCCTTGGCAGCTCTCCCGTCCCAGTGGTGAGCGTACACGCTGACACGTCCCAAATATTCTTGTATGGTTGCAGCTTCTCTGTCCTCTCTAGCATGCTTTCACATGTATGTACTTACGATACTCAGACTCAGTTATGTCTGAACTTATTTGTCACCCTCCCCATCCCCAAGTCTGCTCTTTTGCATTTGTTTTTTTGGTTACTGGCAGCAACAGCCAAAGTTGCCCAGCTAGAGACTTCAGGGTCATCCGTGGCTTTTCCCCCCTATACCCACTCAGTCTCCAGTAGCCTGCCTTGGTCTCTGAAATCTCCTCTCTGTCCCCATTTCTGCTGTTCTAGTTAGACTCCCTTCTTTTGCTTCAACTATTAAAATAGTCTCCATATTAGCCTTCTTGTTTAAAGCCTTCCTCTTTATTTATTCTCTATTTCTTCCTCACAGTGACAACAGAACCTCTTTCTAAAACAGCAGCCCCCAACCTAAACATCTAGTATCTCAACACTGCTTAGAGAAAATAAAGTCTGAATTGTTTAGATTGGCTATAATTATAAGGAGGAAATGATATCAAGCACCTTATCACTACAGGTTTGTTCAAGTAAGGACACATCATGAATATTAAGTAAATAAATTCTAGTGATTAACAGTCTCTTGGGGCATATGGTGAATAGTTGGGTAGTTTGCCAGTCTCTAGAAAACTGTGTTGAGAAAGACCAATATATTTAAGTGCTGGTACCATGGAGATCCTGCAGCCATTGGCTTGAGTCTTTTAATACTGTGGAAAATGCCCAGAAGGTTACAAAACTCCAACAGTATAAGTAGGTGTATGTGAGAACCCATAAACTGTGTGAGCCTTTGAATCTGAGACCTACCTTCTTTGACTTCGATTTTAGATTCTGTGTTCCTTCAAATAATCTATTTATCCACCTGCAGGCAGATTTTTCTGATGTTCATTGCTATCCTGCAGTGACCATCCTTTCTTATCACATAGCTTAGGCCACTTATCTCTTAAGCACAGTACATCACAGCACAATATTTACCTCCAGTGAACAGGACAACACCTAGCCTTGTTCATTCTTAGCATCCTTGCTCTCTGACTTCACAACATAACCAACACTTCATCTTCCTACAATCTTTTCTACCCTACCCTGCTCCCCCATTTCCATTACCCTTAGTGTTATAGGAATTCAGAGAAGGATTAGTTGCTGAACCTAGAGGAGATGGATCCCTATCTAGGGTAGAACACGGATAAATCAGAATGGAGGCAGTGCTTTAAGCAAATGTGTTGTTAAAATGCTTATTACTTGCCCAGGAAATTTAAAAATTGGCCAGTTTAGCAGGAGTTCATTGAAAAGCAATAAGCAATGAAGTTAGAACATTGTTCCCCAAAAGCTATATGATGATTGGTTCATAAACTTTCATCCCCGCTTTTAACCTTTCTAATCCTAGCAGTGTTCTCTAGGCCATTAAGAAAGACTTTATTCTTCACCTCACTTGAGGTCTCTCCGTATCTTTGACTCACAAAAACATGCCCCAGGGGGTGAGAAAACTGTAAGTGGCAAATAGCTGTCGGTTAACTACAAGCTTTGATACCCTGGACGTCTAGGGCACCTGAGGACCAGAGGAAAAAGCTTCCCAGCGGGTGGAAGAGATGCAGAAGGAAAGCTGGGGATACTGGCTCTTCTCCGAAAGGCCAGATTGTGGTGTGACTTTTGAACTCATCCTCCAGTTAAAAAATCAGAAAATTTAGCTAACATGCTATTCTTATAAAATGCAAATACTTCCTTTGGAGGGGATTCAGTTTCCTAGGAATTAATGCAATCAAACTGAAAACCAGGTGAAATATGTATAACACAGGAGTTTAGGTTTGGAAGATAAGAAAAGCCTGAAATGCCAGCCATACCACACAGAGGAGAAACGCCGTGGGCTGACATTCTGATTATGTCATTCCAGGTGGCCGTGCATGACGCAGAGGGACTTAAGTTTTTTAAACTACTCTGTGTGTATGTAATAAAATAATATTTTTCTTTACAAATTCTTTTGAGGACTTATGCATTGCAATCTTATTTCCATTAAAAGCTAAGAGAATTTGATATTTCTCAGAGTATTATAAAGGATTTTGATATTACCAAGGATGCTGTCATTAAGGGACATTCAATTTTAAGCAGCTGGTGCTATGTTTTGCCAAGGTAAGATTTCAAGTTTTAGTATCTAAGGTGGGTTCAAGATACAGTAGTTCGTATTTGGCTTCAACATTGATATGTGCATAAGTATAGTCCATTTTTATGAATTTTTGAAACTGGTAACTTAGAAAAAGTATTGAAATATTGTCATACAGAAGCCATTAATTTCCTTTATCAAATTACTTTATTATACATTTACATTTTTGTTAGATCTAATTTTTTAAAATTTCTAGATATCTTATGAAATTATAAGTATTGTAATATTACAACCTTATAAACTTAAATATATAATTAATGATTCATTATCTTTTGATGATGATATGAGCTAAGTTTTAAGTTCGTACTATATTTAGAAAAAATGGCTTTAACTATTGGGATGAAATCTTAGGAACAAGAACTTAAGCAGCCAATAATTTAATCACTGAAGCAAAGAAGGAGGTAGACAGGGAACATAGATTTAACTGATTCATTCAGTCTGACATTTACCAGGCATCTCTGTGTGGCAATGTTTTATTAGCCATTATTTTGTGTTTATAGTTGGCACACTGTTTGCATCAGTTCTGTCTAGTTTTTCCTAATAATTCTAGCTAAGATTGAATACAATGTGTATTTGAAACTAGAAGCAGCTGCCTATTTATTACTTATGTGCTGATAGTTGCTAACTCTTTTGGAACACTTCCTAAATCACACAGTTAACTAAAACTATATACAAGCATTGGCTATAAAGTTTTACCAACTCTTATTTTTTATAGTATGAAAATGGGGCAAATAATAAGTATTCTTCACACCATACCCCCTGACTGTCCTTTTCACTCATATGAAGATTTGCAGATGTACTGGGATGACCTGGTAAGGGGTAGAAATATACATTATGGTAAAAGTTATTTGATTTTGCTTCTTAGAATTTAGCTTAGCTTCCTCTCAAGAATTTCAACTTTGTTCTTAATTTTTAGTATGGCTATAAACTTCCAGAAGATGATGGAAATATTAAAACATACTGCAGCATCTACTTCAAAATGCTAGAAGGAAGGACCTTCACGTATCCTTTATGCACACTTGTAACATGCTCTCTGCCCACCTTATGATCTAGCTGTACTTTGCCCTTGATTTCATCATCATTTTCCATCTTCTGTTTGTCTAAATGAAACTACTTTCCCCTCTACTCCTTTCCCCTCTACTCCTTTTTATCTGCTTGAGCATTTGTTTTCCTTAGAATTTTCCTATGTTTATTTGAGGATGAGCCTCATGATGGTAATTTTTCCTTGAATACTATTGCAATATTAGACAGCAAAAGGAACTTCAGACAGAAAAAAGTTTTACATGATTCCTGGTAGAAAGAATCAGGGTTCTCCTTAGCTGAGGGCTCCCTCCAGTGGCATTTTGGATGTTAATGAAAGGGTGGAATTTTTAAAGAATTAGTCATTTAACAAATATGTCTCTTTTTGGAAGATTATTTAATTTTACAGGCAAAGCTTAGAGGATTTGACTTGCACTTATACACTCCATTAACATTTTTTTAAATTCACACAAGTAAAGCACCCTCGTGCTAAGGTGAAACTCCGGTCTTAACTCGTACTGATTTCACAGTTTGCATCTCTGTATTCTCAACAGCTGTTTCAGAATGGAAGCAGGAACGGCCGTAATGTTCTTTCTTCATATTCCATGTTTCCTAACCCAAATCTTAGTGTGGAACTGAGACTGACAGACATCAGCCATTCCCTTTCATTAGGTGCCAAGATATTATTCCAAGTCTTCAGAATATTTTCTCAAACAACTGCCTTTAGCAGGTGGATAGAATTGAGATGCATTGTTTGTACTGAGATTTTACTGCTTTTGGAGATGAAACCTGATGATTACTATAAACACTTATTTTTATAATTTATAAAGGTCATAATGTCTGTCTTATAAATCATTTTGGGAAGATATGTATAGAAATCCCTGTAAGGACACAGTGCGTTGTCTTGGATCCCTGTGAGAAAACATGCTTTTTAGCTTTGGATAATATGGAATAAGCAATATCTAAAACACTTAGGATTTAGTTATGTGTGCCTTTTTGACAGTTACTATTTTAATAGTTTAGTTCCATAGAACTTGCTATCTTATATGTACAAAAATGTTCCATTGTTCTTTAACATCGTTCAGATACCCTCTCAGCTGCATCAGAAGTCAGCCCATACAGTTCTTCCCAAGGGTAGACTTGGAAGGTGTGTTGAAAAGTTTTCTTTTAGATTTAAAATCTAAGCTGCCCCACATATGTGGATTTCCCATAAAGATGACAACTAAACCATGCTACTACACACACGACCTAATTAAGCCTCATGTGCAGGTAAGAGACTGCATGTCCTGTGGAGTACACCTGTCTTCCTGCGTCTCTTGCCTTCTGTGATGGACTGCCTAACCCATTTGCTGTAACTCTTGTCTCTCAGCTCAGTGTTTCCCTAATACTATGTGTTATTATTGTACCTAACCATTTGTCACTGCCATTTGTTACTATTAATGTATTTAACTTGACATTATGGTTGTTTATGGGTCTATTTTTTCTAACTTGGCATGACCTCTCAGAGGGTAGAGATCATATGCATCTTATGTCAAGTGTCTGCTATATAATTGGTGTTGATTAATTTTTTTGACGAATAAATGATCTTACAGTTTGGAAACATTTGCCTCATAGAAATCCAAGTTCACTTTGAAATTCTGCTACTTCATTTGAGTCTGATTGATCAAAAAGCCTTTGAATAATTCCCTTTATAGAAATTGAATTAATGACATTTTTGTTGTATATACTAAGTGGAATATATATACTAAGATGATACACTAAGTGGAATCTTATTTATGAAAAAAAGTAGCAAGTAAGCAAAACTGATGAAGAAAATATGTTGACCCATCCTCTACACTCACTAGAACAAGATTTCTTTGTAAAACAAAACCCCCCACAAAATTTAAAGGGAAGTTTCTGAAAAACCTAAGAAAATTTAATAAAATTTTTCAGTGATCTTTCTTTTAAATGACAATTATGCATTATATCAAAAGGAAAGACAAAAATTTGAACAATTTGAAAAGTTTAAAATACACTGAATTATCTATTTCTGTGTCAGCTCCATCTCCCTCCTTGATTTACGAGTGCCGTCTGCTTATTGCGGTTTCTCCACTGATGACCGTTTTCATGTGGGGTTGATTTGCTGTGATTCAAATGCTATGATTCATGGTATTTTTTCAGCTTTATCCACCATGCTAATAGTCTCACTTTCTTTTAATCCTCAACTAAAATCCACCAGAACCTGTGTCTGTCTGACCCCAGGTCACGTCATCTGTCACTCACCAGCTTGTGGATTCGCTAGCCATGAGTCAGGGGCCAACACCTTGTATAGATGATACACATGATGGCCTAGAAGTCAGGGCATAGGCAAGCCATTTGCTTAGAAGGGAGTGTGGGTGGACAAACACTAGTTGACAGCTTTATGATAATAAATCTTAAAGCTTTGCCCAGACATAAAATTTTTTAAAGTTTAGTTGCTGGCCAACTCCAAATCTGAGGAATTTAAAAGAAGATATGTCATTGCATCATGCATTTTTATTGGATATATTTATTGAATATTGAATATTTCCAGCCCATGTCTGTTTTAGAAATCATGCATCTGGACAGTATGCTTGTGAAAGTTTGTTTCTTAAATGTAAAATAATGCTTAATTGAAAATTCTGGCCTTTATATTGCTCCTGACATTTGAGAGCCTGACAATAAGAATTTATCCTGCTCAGTTTCATTGCATGCCCTCTTTGTGCCAGCTGCTTTTATGTGCATTATCTCATTTAATCATCAGACTCTTGGGATAAAGAATTTCTTTCACAATTGCTGTGTCCTTCACACTACTTCACAGAGGTTTTGTGTTTGGTTTTAGGATTAGATAATACTTAGAACAGTTCTTTGTACTGAGTGAACTTTCAATAAATGGTAGGTCCTATTCTGTACGTTAGCTGTAACATCCATGCAGTGCTAAAATGCATATGTTTAAAAAGTGAAAAATATATTGGTGAAGCTATGTGATAAAATTCAGCTGACTTTAAAAAATTAGCAGGAGTACTTGGCCAATCTAGTTTCCCTTTAAGCTTGTGGAAATTCTTAAAGATAAAAAGAAATTAGGCATATGAAAGTTCATTATACTATCATTGAACTCGTGACATTTTTCTGAGTTGGGGGATACACTGGAATATTTTTAAACAAATCCAAGATAGGTTATTTCATCCATAAAGGCTTTAATATGCGTCACTATCTGATAAGAGCTTCTTGAACAATTATTTCACAGTAATTTCTTAGTATCTAATAGTAGCTCATATTCCCATTCCTTATTTATCTCAAAGATTTATTTTAGAAGTTTTATTTAAATCAGAATCCAAGCAAGGCCCACATAATTTTGGTTGTTATCTCTCTTAGGTCTCTTAATCTATAACATTCCAAATCCTCTTCCCTTTTGTTTATGCCAGTTACTTGCTGAAAAAATTGGACCATTTGCTGTGGAGAATGTCCCATATTCTGGATTTGACTGGTTCCTTCCTTGTTTCATGCCATTTAAAGTCAATATCTTTCTGAACTCCATATTTCCTGTAAACGTGGTTAGATCTAAGCTTAAATGAACCGTCAACTTTAAACCAGAAACACAATGCACAGAACCAGCTTTTAATAGATAAGACAAATTTGATCAGTAATCTTAGTCCTCAAATTTCATCTTCTAGGCCTCCACTAGATATCCATTCATATTTGAATATCGATTAAAGCTTTTGTTTTTCCTTTATAATTTTATGTTTACATGCAACTTATGTAATTTTGTATATAAAGTTCTAGGAACTAAAGGTACACCAACATTTGACAGTGACACCTGGCAGAATAATGGTAATAATGTAGCAAAGCATGTGTTTTTTGTTGGGTTATGAATTCATAAAGCTTTAGTTTGTTAACCATTAAGCATTTTAAGATTTGTGAATTATTTATGATCTCATCTGCTGTTTACCTAGACCCTTTTTGTAGTCTTTATAAATTTGAATATAAACCAAGAGGTTTTCCCCTTTGGGTTATTTACTATATTTTAGAAACCAGAAGAATTAGTAAATAATACATTGACAGGCTAGGGGGCAAAACAAGCTCTTGGAAATTATATTCATGGGATGTGTATTTCTGAGAGATGAAGGTGAAATGGTGCGAATGTAAACATCTCAGGCACATATTCTAAATGAATTTTATGTCAGCATACACATAATCTATTCTGATAGGAACTGCCTACAACAAGTGTGTATGTTGTTGACAAGTTACTATTAGTACATGAGAGCCAAGGATCCCTCAGAATGGCTGTTCTTTGATTTGAATTTAGTTCTTGTACCCTTTTTTTTCAAATAGAAAAACATTCAATGTAGAACTTCAAGATGACCCAGTCACTTGTGACAAATTATCCCTTTGAGGTAGAATTTCATTCAGATTTAAGAAGCGTTCTCGATGTGACAGCGTCTGTGTGCAGGGGAAAGCTGGGGTAGGATACTGGGTGGCGGGCATCAGGCGGTGTGGACCACATCAGCAGAGTGACCCCTGAGCTTTGTTTCTGGACACCCTCAGAGCAGTGGCTTCGTGGGCAGCTGCTAACCTTGCAACTGAAACACCAAAGGCATTCGTGATTCAGCTTTTCAGCCGACTTTGCAGAAGTATGACTACCACACTTCTTCCTGCCAAATACTGTGGGAGTGTATCTGGTTTGTTGACCCTAAAAGTATCCTGAACCCTAGCTGCAAAGGAGAAGATGACCATTTTTGGTTTCCAGGCACTAGCTCAGGAAGGAGCATTAGGAGGGGGCTGGAATGAGTGTCGACCCCCAGACCATGCCTCCCATTGCCCAGTCACAGCTGGGTAATGGGAGTGGTCACTTCTTGACCTGGGTCGGTCTGATATTGGCTGTGTCTGCTCATAAGGAGTTTGGTGAAGACGGTGTACGAGGTTTTCTCTTAGCTCCCTTGTGGAGAGGGTTTTCAGAAGCACAGCTGCATCCCTTCCTCAGTCTTTCCAGAGGTACATGTCAAACCCTATTATGGATTGAATTGTGTCCCCCTCTTTCCAGACTCACGTTAAAATCCTAACCCTCAGTATCTCAGGATGTGACCTCATTTGAAATAGAGTCATTGCATCTATAATTAAGATGAGGTCATACTGGAGCCCCTAATCCAACATGACCAGTATTCCTATGAAGGGAGATCGGAGACACACATGCAGGGGGATACCATCTGAGGATGGCTGCCAACAGCCGAGGGGCCAGGCCTCACCAGGTCCCTTCCTCACGGCCCTGACTCTGCTCCATTGTGGTGGCAGCCTTCCAGCCTCCAGGGCGTGGACACGTTTCTGTTGTTCAGGCCCCCAGTTTGTGGTCCTTTGCTGCAGCAGCCCTAGCAGACTGACACAGACCTTGCACTGGGGGCCTTGTCCTTCAGGCTGGCCATTTCCAGGGGCAACCAGCCAGCTCATTCCTCAGGGAACCTTTGCATCCCTTTGCTCGGGCTCATGAAACCCAGCTGGGGCCTCTTCTGTGCCCTCTGAAAATTGGGGGGGGAAGGAAAGAGAAAGGTCATTTTGCCCTACTGATGTGGATAAGCCTCCAGCTCCAGAAACCTACAGACAAGAAGTGATCCTGGGTCACCTCTTTTCAGCGTCACCCCAGATCTCACCCAAGAATTTTTTGGGTCTCCCCACTACTCCCAAGAATAGTCAAGGGGGGGGAGGAGTATTCTCTGTGGTGACTTTGTAATATGTCAGCTTGAGTATGCTGAAATATGCTTCCCTGAACTCCTTTCTCCGTACGGTCCTGGCATAGCAGGAACACGTGATGGGGAGGCGTGGCGAAGCAGGGCCATGTTCACACTTGGAAAGCCTGTGTGAGGCCAGTGGGGCCCTCAGGCTCTGGGCACGCACGTTAGCAGCCCGCTTGTGTGAAGCAGGAGCTGGGCTGTGGCTCCTCCACCTCCCACAGCCTCTCTGAGCCCTGTTGAGGTTTGTGTGCAGCTCCATTACAGGGAACTCCAGCCCTTCCCTCTGCACCTAGACGATGACATTGGGGGCCGGGAGGCGGTGAGGGACTGGCATGGGTTCTGGCTGGAGACGGACTGCACTCGGGATCCGCAGGCCCTTCCGACCAGTGGCAACACTCCTTTTGCCATATGGAGCCTGTTCCTCCTCTTGGGCCCGGGAGGGCCTGCGATGGAAGTCGTGCTGCGTGGCTTCCAAGGCCAGGTTACTGGGGTGAAAACAGCTTCTCCGTCTCTCTTGGGAGGCTTGGCCCTGGAGCTCACTTGGTACGTGGGAGGGTTGCCTGGCCCCATGAGGAGGCTCCCATCATTCCGGTTTGCAGCCAGCACCAGTCGTCACAGTGACGCCAGCCCAGAGCCCTCCACCGCAGCTGCCCCAGAGACTCTGAGCTGAGTCATGTCAGCGCCCGGGTCAGGAGAGAGAAAACATGACTACTGTTGTTTTAAGCCACTAAGTTTTAGTGTGGTTTATTTTGCCTAATAGCTAACTGAATCACTCTCTTAACTTTTCTTCTGCCTGTTTACAGCTGTTATCTCCCAACACCTGTCCTACTCTCTGTTCAGTTCCACTCAACAAATGAATCTCTAATACTGGAAAGAAAAACCAGTTGTCCTGCTTTGCATATTATTCCTAGCAGTTTTTAAAATTTTACTGCAAGTTGTGAATCTGTGTTTTTGATGTGGGAAGGGAACTCTGAGGGAAAAGAACTTTGTGTGCCATGTTTCAGATTATTGTCATGTTAGTCACAGACTCTTAAGACTCAATGGGTCTATAATTTAAAAGACTATAAACACCTCCCATCACCAGGTGGGTAGATAAGCAAATGCATGTCCATGCAGTGGAATATCATTCAGTCTTACAAGGAAAGGGAATTCTGACGCACATTACAATGTGCATGAACCTTGAAAACTCCATGCTAAGTGAAGTCAGTCGGTCACAAAAGACATACTGTATGATCCCACTGATACTGGATACCTAGAGGGGGCAACTGCAGAGACAGGAGGTGGGTTAGATCACTAAGGGGCTGCCCGGAGAAGGAAGTGGGGTCACTACTTCGACCACAAAGTTTCTTTGGGATGAAGAAGAGGTTTTAGAAATGGGGGTGATGGTTACACAACAGAAGTACTTAATGCCACTGAATTGTGTACTTAAAAATGGTGTAAAATCGATAAATCTTGTATTTTATACATATTACCCTAATTCTTTCAAAAGTCTACAAACACTTTCTGCCACGTGTCTGACAAGTCAGTGTGAGTCCCACTCGCGAACTGCTTGCAGGCCAGCGCTCTGGTAGGCAGTGAGAATGCAAATGATGAAGCCATAGCCAGCCTCTGCTGTACAGGCAAAACCCCGTTTATGCTTGAAGGCCCAGTGTCAATGCAGCCACCGCCTCCATTAATTTACTTTCTTTAAACAGGTATTTTGTAGTAAATGGGTGACATTTAAGGATGTGAAAGATAGAAGAATAGGTCATGGTTCCTATTCTCAAAGAATCTAGAATCCACGTAGGGCAATGGAACATGCAAGCTAAAGTAGAAGAGGGCTACTTTTTACTATTTTTTGGTGATAAACAAATACTGATAGCAGGTCCTTGCGAAACTGAGGGGCAAAGCTATGGCAAGAGGGGAAGATGTCCTGAGCAGGAGAGCGGCACGGCACTGCTGGCGGGCACTCTGTAGCCGACCTCAGCCTTTACAGTTGGTTTAGGCACAGCTTAGCACATATCTTTTTTTTTCTTGGTATCATTAATGTACAATCACATGAGCAACATTATGGTTACTAGACTCCCCCCATTATCAAGTCCCCCCCACATACCCCATTACAGTCACTGCCCATCAGCGTAGTAAGATGCTATAGAATCACCACTTGTCTTCTCTGTGCTATACTGCCCTCCCCGTGCCCTCCCTATGTTATATGTGCTAATCATAATGCCCATTATTCCCCTTCTCATTCCCTTCCCACCCACCTTCCCCAGTCCCTTTCCCTTTGGTAACTGTTAGTCCATTCTTGGGTTCTGTGATTCTGCTGCTGTTTTGTTCCTTCAGTTTTTGCTTTGTTCTTATGCTCCACAGATGAGTAAAATCATTTGATACTTGTCTTTCTCTGCCTGACTTATTATAACATCTTTATCTTAAAATACTATCTTGAAGGGATTGTTTCTAAAGAAGGGTACAAACCTTAAGAAATGTATATGTTTCCTCAAGAAGGCTCATTTGATTTTTGTTTTTCTTTATCTGTCAGATATTGTAGTGTTACTTTATATTCTTATTTTTATGATATTTTATGTTTTCCTTCTTTTCTATCAAGGGCATTATTACATTTTTTAAATATCTTAATCTCTCTCCTTTCAGGTAAACAAAGTCAAGCCACCCAATCTGACCACTAAACAAATGTTCAGGTCCTCTCTGACTGAAGCTGCTTCCACAAAACCCGCCCTGGCTCAGCGTCTCACACCGTGTTCAGCAGCCATGAGCCACACGGTGGAGCTTTCTGTCAGCCACCCGAAGCGCTGTGTGTCCTCAGCCCTGCAGCTCCAGCCACAGTCCATTCAGAGCAGAAGGAAACCCGGGTCTGACAGGGCACCACCAGTAGCTCTGGGGGCGCCAAAGCCCAGCAGAGGAAACCCTCAAGTTCAGGGCACAGCCTTTAGCTCTCAAAATAATACTGCCCCTAAAGTCATACCAGTTTTTAAAAACTGGTCATTACAAGTGAACAAAAATATCTTAGAACCTGGCAACCTGAAAAGAAAACAGCATGTTGTTGCAGAATCTAAGTTGTCTTCACTTAAAACTAGTGTGATCCAGGGTGACAAACGGAACTCAGATCGAGGTGTGAAAAAAAGACCTAATCATAAAATTCAGATGAATGCTAGAAATTTGAATCTGAAGACATCTAGACCTCTGCAAGAAGAAAACACTGAACCCTGTGAAAGTATGACAAAATGTCCCCCTTCTAATGGAAAACCATTGACCAGGAGTTTAAATGAAAGTACACAACTATCTAGTCATTCGGTATCTCAGATGTCAGCCAGCAATTTAGGCGTAATGAAGAATGCTGTTGATTTCCAAGTAGGCGGAAAAGAAAATTTAGCAGGCAAATATATAGCACAGATTTTAGGGAGAGGCCACAGTCCCCTCAAAGGGAAGAGACAACCACACATATTTGAATCAGACACAGAAACAGAAGATGCCCAACTAGTACAGAAACAATCAGCAAATGAAACCAAAGAAACTGGTGTGAGTGACCTCAGGCTGGGAATAAGCGGAACAGCCCACAGGCCTAAAAGGTAACTACATCAGGAATTTTCAGACACTTCAGAGGCCTCATTCCAATACTGTCCGTTTTGAATAATCCAGTTCTAGAAGCCAGGTAAAAATTGTTATCTGGAGATGTGTATCACATGATAGACCTTTAAAACCACTAAATAAAGATTTAAATTATTTGCTCAAGTTCATCTAGAAACACATTAAGAAACAGAATAACCTAACCAACTGCAAGTATATATGGTTAATTTATAGCAAAATGTGATTCCTTAATATGATTACAGATACATGACGACAAATCGAAACCCAAGACTCTCTTATCATCCCTAAAGTTTAGGATGTGGATGTGAAAGAAGAAATGTTCACCAGGTAACTTAGTTGATACCTTTTTATTTTTTGTTAATTATCCAAATTGGAATTGCTAGGTTTAGGGGTCTGCCATGTCTTGGTAAGCAGGAGCTACTTTTAAATTCCTTGAAGCTTAAAATCAGCAAGGAATTAGGAGATGTTGGGAGTGACACAGCCCTTGAGTAAGGACTGTACACAGCAGCCATCATGTGTAGTAAGGGCCCCCAGAGGAGGAGGCGGAGGGAGGTCCCGCTGCACTTCCTCCCGCTCTGCTCCAGGGTGTGTGGGAGCGCACAGCACAGACTACCGAAAGGTATCAGACTCCACGGCCGCTAGAACACATGCCCAAGATAATTAACCTTACAATATGTTTCAAAGGTTAATAAGTTAAAATTTACTCCAAACACTGTTGGAGTACTGGCCAAAGTTGAACTTGAGATTTAGCTGATAATGCTAAGTCCACAGCACTGGATTCACAAAACCATACATCTGGAAATTACATTTTATTCCATTCTGTTTGATAGTATTCCATCTGTTTTATACTAAGAAAAAACATATTACTAAAACATCCAAAAATACTTTTTTGCACAGAATTTTTGGAATATTTTCAATTAAAATTCCTTATGAACAAACTAAAAAACATTTTGTTTTCTCTTTCAAATGCTTTTCTTTCTATAATTAATAGAATTTTCAGCCTGATTTGAATTCATAGAAAGGTACTTGCTACTCCTATTTATTTTGTAATGTTCTGTTTCATGTCATTTTTGACATAATTTAATGTAGTCAGGTGGTTGAGAAAAAATATTGTGTTAGGATGCCTTTAAAGTTTTCATTTTTAAAAATCTATTTCAGATTTTATAATCTTTTAGAAGTATAGCACTTTCCCACTTTAAATTAAGACCTAAAACAGTTACTAAATTAAAAAGCTATTCCATCACCTAGAAAGAATACATAAAGAGAAAAACTATAAGATGTTACTATGGAAAATAACGCCCCTCCAAACATGAAATTAACATATGCCCCTATAAAAAAGTGGTACAAAACATTTTCAAGAGAAAAGTAACAAGAAAAAACAACTGGTAAGAGTGTATATCAATAATATCTTAATAAAAAATTATAATAAAAAATGTAAAAAGCACAATGCAAGACAACAAACAATAAGAAAAAAGAAAAAAAAACATCTGCAGCTGCTCTTTGTAGAGATAACCACTCTGACCAGTGGACACACACTCACACCCATGGCTGTGAACATGGAACCAGGCTCCACACATTACTGTGGAACCACATTTTCATTTGACAGTCTTATTTGTCATGGCTGCATAGTATTCCACAGCATGTGGGTATCCTGGGTGCACTGTTCCTGCGGATTGACACTTCAGTTTTCCCAGGTTTTCACTATGGTAACAATGTTGTGTATAGTCTTGTACAGATCTTTGCAAAATATCCAACTATATAGTTAGATAACATCCTTATTTTGCCTTAACTATTTTTATTATTAAAATTCATTCGAATTATTTTTAGTAAACTTTTGAAACTACAAAGTACAGAAAATAGTATAAAGAACATCTAAGTAGCTATCACCCAGCTTCAACAATTATTTGTATTTTACCACTGTTTTGTGTATTTCCCACAGATATACTTTTTTTAACCATTTTAAAGCAAATACATCATATAATTTCACCCATGAACACTTTAGTATATATTCCACCAGATAAGGGATAGCATATTTTTAAAGAAAAATAATGTGTATATATACATTTCATTTGTTTATGTTACATTACATACATTACCGTATCTTTATTGACCTAAATTTCACTTTAGTTTTAACATGCCAACAGGAAGCCCTCAGTAAATGTAGAACCTATTTCACAGAAGAACTAGAGCTTTCAGTTATTTACCAAAATACTGGAGTCAAGATTTATGTGTTCAGCCACATTCATCAAGCATCCGCCTCCTGCCATCAGTGGGCTCAGCACTGGGCTTCTGAAACGACCAGACTGCCGTTGGCCATGTCACCTGGGTCCTGGCAGAGATGTAGGAGTCAACACTGAAGGACATGTCAACACGGACCTTTGGTCCACATTATGAATAAATTAACATATATAAAAAGAAACCGAAGTGAGCTGCTCACCTAACTAGTATCATTCTGACTTTCAAACGTTTTAGATGTTTAATTTACAAAATATATAACTGTGTAACAAAAGAAATAAAAATCTACATTAATATTCCAGTGAAATAAAGACCCAGCAGAGAACCCAATATAAGCTGAACTTGATTTTTTAATGTAATTCGCTGTTTGTGAAACTTCACTAAACCATTGCAGTTAAAGGCAAAAATGAGCACAGCTCTACTTCAAAACTGTAAATACAATGCTTGCTCTTGAAATTGTGCCTAGTAATTAACTTATTATAGATCTTCCTTGTAAGCCCTTCTGTTGTTCAGAATTATCTCAATAATTATTTTACCATTTTTAAATGGAAATACATCTGGCTTAAAGCCCATTTTGAGTGTACCTTTCTCATTCTAAAGCTAATATGGTAGACAATTAGTGGACTGCATTTTGTAAGCCTCTGATAAAAATACTTGTTTATGAAAGTGCTGTTAACTTTACCTGGTCGCCCAGTTGTCAGCAGCATGTCCTCATCCTTGAAGCCAGTCCACCCCTCTTCTCCGTGTATTCCTAGGCCTTCTGCTACTGTCCAGTAATCAGGCCATAGGGAACGAAGACTTATTATTAGACTAAGCAAAATAATTAAAAAGATAAATCCACTGCTTAAGTGATGTACGTTATCTTCCAATTCTTCATATAAATGATCTGGCTAGCTCCTCCTCCACTGTTAGTGTCTAGACCTTACCGGTCGTAGAATTGCATTTCATTCAGACAAATGTTAACCTACATGGTGACTCCTGCTTATGTTAGGTGCAGTCTACTTTCTGGTGTAAAGGAGGTTATTTTTCATCTTAAAACATTCATCCTAGTGAAAGTTCACCCCCCAAAATATATATACATATAAATGTGTGTGTGTGTGTGTATATGATTTACTACAGAGATAACATAGGTTGTTTATCTACTATTCTATGTTCAGAGAAGAGGTTCCAGACCAAATCGCTGGATTCACATTCACTGGAGAAATCAATGAAGATTTTGGTTCATTTTGAAGCTTGTAATTTTGAATTCCAGGATGACTCCAGTTTTATTAGGGAAAGCTCTATTTCCTTAAGCATTTGGTGATTTATACACATTGTGGACCATCCCCCTACCTTGCCCCCAAATCGTTCTTCACATTCCAGTTGTGTGTTAGTCTTAAAACCATTATAATTTTAAAACCATTTAAGTAAAATAAAAAAATGATTTTATTTTAGGATTCTATATCCAGAATCCTAAAAGATCAGCTGTTGCATTTGAAAACCTGTGGCAATATGTCAGAATCGATGCTCAAAATCATTTTCACAGAGATGTAAAAATGCCTCTGTTGCTCACTGTATTTGTCTACTATGCACCTACTACAATTATTTGTATTTGTTGCTCACTGTAGCAAATAGGTAAAAAATATGGGTTTGTCAATGATTTTTGACAAAATCAAAAAATTTAGATTTTATTTGACTAATCAGTTCACTAATCATTTTTTTGCTCTTTTTTAAAATTGTCCATCATCTAGTATTATGGTGGAACTGACAGTATATTGGGTATCTGTTGGTACTTAAGAATGCTCAATATTTATAAATGTTTAAAAATATCATGGTCATTGTTTACTGATGCTTAAAATGTCAATGTATCCTATGTCATATATTATTTTAAATGTAAAAAAGGTATTTCAAATATGTGTATTTTTCACATGTCAGAATGACTGTATAGGTATGGAAGGGCTTAGATAAACTACCAATTATTTTGCGTCTGTGGCTCCATTTCTTCAGATGCTTTTGCTGCTGGGCCGTGTGAACCAGTGCAGGTCCTCGCCGCTTCACACTTTGTTCTCAGAGGCCTTCCTTCTTCCACCTGACGGATGCTTAGTGCCTGGCACTAGTGTAGATACTTGGGATTTGTCAGTGAGCGCCGCCCTTACATTCTAGGTGAGACAGACGATAAACATAAATACATTTTAGAGTGTATTAGCAAGTGACAGTATAGGAGAAAGGAAAACCAGAGCCACCCAAGACAGAGTGAAGGTCGGCTTCCTCGGGCGGTAACCCGGGCAAAGATGGAGTGGCCGGTGCCACCGCGGTGGCGGCAGAGGAAATGGGAGGTGGCGGTTCTGGGCATATTGTGAAGGGTAGAGCCCATTGGATCTGATATTTGAGGAAAGAGGGGTACTGAGGGTGATTCCAAGGCGTTGGGCTGGATCACGCGGGAGGAGGGAGTTACTACCCACTGGGTGGAGGGGGCCGGCTGTGGTCTCACAGGAGGCTGGGAGTCCACGACTGGATCTCACACTGCGGTCGTTGAGGACCCTGAGCAGCAGTGTCCGTGCCGTGATGGAGCTGCGGGGCTAGTGGATTCAAGGGGGAAGGATCAGAAATCATGGGCGGGGAGGCTCTTCTGATGAGAGTCAGTGCACTTTTCTAAATCCCTGTTTTCATTTACCTTTTAACAGTACTGTTCTTTGATTATCCCCCTCCTGAAAAGAGGATTCTCCCCTGGCCCCTTAGTCACCTACCTAGGGACACAATTTTCCTGTTGCCTGCTGACAGGCATTGAGTGCCCCCGGGACCCTGAAGGGTGGGACGCCCAGGGAATGGGAAGAGGGCATTCCAGAAAGAAGAAACGAAATGGGCAAAGAGGGCCCTGTGTTGAGGGCAGAGAGAGAACCGATTCTGGGGTGTTTGGGCATGTGCTTCGTGGGGGTCCCGAGTGCCTGCAGGCCCGGCCGTCCGCAGCGGTGAGGGAGTTCTGTGCAGGCGGTGAAACCCCCTGGAGACTGTCCCAGAAACAGGATGGAGAGACAATACCAGCCTAGGAACGACCTGTCGGGGCCGTGGCTGTAGGTGGTGCCTTACTGGGCGCCGAGGTCCTGGGTGAAGTGGATCTTTAGTCTTGAACTGTTGCAAGAAGAATGTTGCTTTTTAAAAATACAGAAGGTGGAAGAGTGGTGGGGACAACATAGCAAGAAGACGGCTGACTCCATTCATGCTGGGCCGGGTTGGTTTGCTTGGAAGGTCCAGGTGAAGACAGCCCAGAGATAGGGCGGTACGGTCTGGGCAGCCGTGCACGCAGGACTGTTAGTTGAAGGTGCATGTGAGGGCACAGGGGGCGAAGAGAGGAACACAAATGACAGTCCTCAGTGCATGAGATGCACACGGAGAGAGTGGTGAGAAGGAGAAGGTGTGGAGGCTGGAGGTGCAGTCAGGTAAGGTCAGAAAGCAGAGATTTCTAGTCCAGAGCCCAGGACAGGATGGCAAGGTCAGTGTCAGTAAAACGTCCAGGAGAAGGAGGCCTGGGGGAAGTGGGCTTTGGTCTCGGAGGTCCGTGGTGGCGGCTGCAATTCGAGGGAGATGCAGCAGATACGGCAGGAGTGCAGCACGCAAGCCCAGAGCCCTCCTCAAACATCCGCGTGTGGCGGGAGCGGGGAAGGGACAGCGAGGTCGCAGGGACATCGGTGATCTGGGCAGAAGGACACCACCGTTCAATACAACCAGGAAATAAATACCTGGGGAGAGTATATCTAATGGGAATAGGATATTTCAACTCTAAGCTCTTGCTCTGTGAGTTTTTTAATTTCTGGAAACTGCTATCACTAAACATTAACAGAAAAACAGTTGGTCATCTTAGCTTATCAGCTTTTTTTTAAGATGAAAGCTCGTGATTGATTTTTAAAATACTACATGTATCTTTCACTCTTTCCTGTCAGGGAAAATTTTCCCAGTCTCCATAAAAAATAAAATGCATTAATGTTTATTATATTCCACAAAGATCACCCTGGCTACTACTGTATACTCATTATTAAATTTCTGAGCTCAAGTATTCAAAGAATGTTTTGCTATTGACATTCAGAGATAAAAGAAATTACATGTAGTATGTGTATAATAAATTTTTATTCCACTAGTTTTTTCCAGAATGATAGGATTTCTAACTGGTAGCCTGTGTCCCTGTATTAAAAGTAAAAATCTGCAGACTTATTCAAGGAGATATTTGGCAAATCATAATTGGTTCTGTGGTTTATTATATATCTACTTATCTTACCACTAAAATAATTTAGGGATAAAATATTTAAATCTCTGAAGAACATGAGTTAAGCTGCCTTGAAATAAAATTCTGGGTCTGTACTTATGGGGAACATATGTCAATATGATCATTTAGCTAAAATGAATATGGGACTTTCTTGAGGCAAACAGAGCCTCCCCCACCTTCTTTTCCCTTCAGTTCTGAACTTGATGAATGCTTGTTTGGGTCTGAATCAGACTTAAAATCTAGCTACTGTGTTGGAGCTCCTGTTTTTAATAATGGCAGACTAGGTTATTCAACCTCCTTACAGAAAACAAGAATGTTCGGACAAATATTTCTATGTTTCTATGGACAAAGTTCATAGAAACATCCGAGAACCAAAATGACATAAGGAATTACCAGTATAAACCCTGAAAAAAACCCAGAAATGTAAACATAATTTAAAATCACTTTTGCTCTCAAGCTGTCTGATGACCCAGACTTGAAACGAAGCCTCATTTTGATGATGTTGAGTCAGCGAAGCAGAAATGGAAAAGCCCAGGGCCTGATGAGGGCAGGATCCTGCCCGGGATGCCCACCTCACCCTGCACCTCTCACATGATTCAGTGGGACCCCAGGGCTGTGCCCTATGGTAAAGGTAAGCCATCAGTAACCGCCCCGTCCCTCCCCCAAGGGACTGTGGGGTGTCCTGCCTGAGTGTGATAGGACTAGAGGCAAAATCCCTGAAAAGGATCCCCCGTGCGTCCCTGCCCAGATTAGCCAAGGTGAGCCAAGAAACCCAATCCAAGAATTTAGTTTATAATATCAAAAATAATAAAAGTATCAGAAGCGTTGTCAAAAACTTTAGGGAGAAATATCAAAGTACATGGAGAGCTATACCATGTTCTCTCGATAATGGGAAGATTCAATGCGATTTTGATCCCGATTTCAACTTGTTTATTTTTAGAACTTGATAAGCCTATTCTAAAATTGATATAGGAATGCAGAAGTCAAGAATAAACAGACTTTTAAAAATAAGAGAGGAGGATTTGCTCTTCAGAAAGCAAAATTAATACATAACTATCATAAAATACATGGTATTGGCGTCCAGACTGACAAAGCACTGGGACAGAATAGAGTCCAGAAATAGATTCACACATCTAAGATTTCAGGCTGTTACTGTTCACAATGGCTCAGACATTCTAAATGGCCCTTATGAACCTTACAAATAATAAGATGCAAAACATGCATTAGTTTCCCTTCATGGGAAGCTCAAAACCAGGAAAAATTCAACCATACTATTTAAGAATTTTTTTTTACATTAAATATTTTATTCTTCCTATCGATACTGTTTAAAGCTTCCAACACTGTAGACAAAGAAATCTTTGATAACATAAGTGTCAGTTCACTGGAGAAACCACATAATTCTTTAAAACTGCATAAACATTTCTATACACAAGATTGAGGTTTCTGCAGCCTATATATGCCTCCTTTGGGAAAAAAGAAAAAACAATGTATTGACAGCAATCCAATTGCTTTTTAAATTCCTTAATGGTTTTCTTACCAAACTTGAATGTACTGTAAATGAACCTATCTGTTAGAGCGGTTCCAGTGTACTGTGGAAAATGAACCAAAAACCAAAAACAACAAGAAACCATGTGAGTTCTGAGAAAAGCAATAGTTTATACTTTCTGTTTCAAACTTAGTTTAATTCAATACTTACCACATAATAAGAATGTTAAGAGATCGGCCTTTGGAGTCCCCTGACAAGCTACTTGTGACCAATATCAATCTAAGGTGTTATTTTATAACTTCAACCACCTGCTTCAGGGTTAAGTGCTTAAAGAACAACAGTGCATCAGAATGTATTCCTTTATTAATGTGAAAAGCAAATACGAGTACGTAAGTGTGCAATAGGAAGGTTATTAAGAAATGGCCGGCTCCTAGCATATCATATGCACTTTAAAGAGAGAGGCGTGCAATTCCCCCATGCACCCCAAATAATCCAGAGAAACAGGAAATAGTTACCAAAAAGCTGAACTGTTTGAGAAAGATGGGAACAGAACGCGCAGTCATGTTGGTATTGCGCGTGGGAAGAGGAGAATGATTGGGGAACGGAACTCAGCCCGTGTCTTAGGCGTGTTGCCGGGAGCTCCCAGGGATGCCCGCCTCCTGCCCATGCCTGTGTGGCCTCTTCCCACAGCTAGGCCACGAGCAAGGCTTCCAGAGTCTATCCGTGCCAGCACACATCCCTGCTGATCCTCCGCAGACCAGGCAGTTGCTGTGTAGACAGCAGAGCCCTGGGGCAGTCAGGGGCACCAGTGCTCCCTGCAGCCGTGCGATCTGCCTCCTCGGGAGCTCAGCAGGCTTGCTCGGGCCCAGGGTGACTATAAAGTCAGTGATTATGACCTAGACTTTCATGCTATATCTATAAAACAAAGACCTTTTATGTGTAATAAAACAGAGCAAGCTCTGTTTCCAAGAGCACAAAATTCAGCCTGCCTTTTTCTTCCTAAGAACTCATTTTTAGACTTCATAAACTTAAAGTAAGCCACACTGTATATGGAGCTACTGAGATGAAACAAACGAAGTATTTTTTAGTCCTATGTCTCTTTAACCAGATTTACCGCATTGCATTACTGTGCTGCCTACTATTGCTCTGTGGTCCCGAAGGAAATAATGGCATGAGGTTGAGAATAAAAACATCATAAAGTAGGATACTCAATACCCCAGATGGCATGTATGC